ATAAATTTGAAATACTTACAAGTCTTAAGAATGAAGACCATATTAATAATGAGAATGATTTTGATAATAAAAATAAATATACTAAAAATGAAAATAATGATAATAATAATAGTTCTATATCAACATCATCTAAAGAAATCCTTAGTTACATTGGATATATTCTTGGATCTAATACCCTAATAGAAGTATCACAATCAAACACACCTACATCTACATCAACAGCACTGAAATATAATATAGCTGATATTAATAATTTAAACATCACTGTTATTTATTAACAAGAAATTAAAGAATTCTTGGAATTCATTTCAAAAAATTTCCAAGAATTACAGAATGACTTAATATTCCTTCAAAATCTAGTTAAATCTAAACATTCATTGACACAAGAATATTTTAACTATAGTGACCAAAATACTTTACTGTCTCATCTTCATAATATTGTTACTTTAGATGATTTCAAAAAAACACAAGATCTAGTCAATGTTATATATAAGGAAACAGGTCATCATAGACCTGTAACTTCTGATATTAGCATTATTCTACTTGAACAAAAAAAAAAACAGCAGCAGAAACCATCATACAAAAGTTAAACTAAAAGATATGAATATATAGCATAGTTACCTATTTAATAAAAAATAACCAAATGCAATGTATGTTTAATAAAATATTGATATAAATTTATTAAAGAGAAAGTTTCTATTCTTACCTATGCATTATTGTTGCATCCTACATAATATAGCATTTATATCTGTATTGGTATATTATGCTTTATAATATTAGAAAGTTCATATGATTTATTAAAATTAGTTGATCACCTGCTTTTTAATCCAAATTATATTTCATTACTATGTGCATGTACTATTTCATTTAAATATAACCAGTCTAAATTATTTGTGGTTAGTTGCATACTTATAAAAAACAAATGCTTAGTGATACTGATGTAAATATAAGTATTAAAATGTTATTAATTTTATTAACTCTAATTAAACAATATATATTGATATATGAAGTTTTTTTTAAGAACAAATTTATGCTGAACATTACAGTTCTTTTTTTCTTAAGGGTTTTTTTAATTTAATACCTATAATGAATATTACTAAGTACTATACTTTTTCTATAATTCTTTTTTTAAACTTTAGCTCCAGCTTCTTTTTTAAAGAATGAATTTTCATTAAACTTAATGTTAAGCTATCGACTACGTGAATATGTATAATTCGATACTTAAATTGTGATAACAATGATCATGTAACAGTAATGATAATGTTAAATCAAGATCTATGGTATAACAATATTTTATTGGGTAATTTTTGCAATCATCAATTTCTAAAAAAGGAGATTTGAAATATGGGTTGGTAATATCGGTCTCTTTCTGGTACTTTTTTTTAAAAAAATTTTTATTAAATTGTGTCGATCACTACCCAAATTGGAAAATGTCCACATGCTGTGATTAGTGCTCTGATTGGGTTAACCCGAATGACCCGAAACCAACCCGGTTATAAAGCAATATATGTGATGTTCATCATTGATTCTAAATAAGAGAATGACTAAAACCAGATATGTTTATATGATTTTGATTATTTAATTAAAATTAAGGTAAAGGTTTGTTAGAGGTTAAGATTAGAATATGTTTTATAATTAAACTTATCTTTCTGATATTTTTTATATATTTAATGTTACAAAACAGGTTTAGATATCTGTTTCTTAGAGTTAATTTGAGAAGATTATATTTTATAATTTGATTGGTTGTTGATCATATGAACATGCTTGATTTTAGATAATTTTTAAATAGATAATAAGATCATGTATATTGAATTTATTTAATTGATGTTTCTTTATTAATTATATTAAGTAAATAATGTATATTGCTTATTATCACATATAAATAAACAGTAAAAATTATAAAAAATTGGTCAACTTTGCAACCAAAATGCTTTTGCATTTTATTTTAACCATCTTTAAAATTTAACAAGAAGAACCCTTAAATGATAAAGAATTTGTAAAATGATGCTCAGAAATTAATCCAAAAATTCCTGTTATCAAATAAGCTTAAAAAGCAAAATTTTGCCTAATTTTACATATAAAATTTAGGTGTGTCAATTATTTGATCTACTAATGAAAAGACAGAAGTTTGTCTAATTGGCTAGCTTCGTAGATCAATTTGTAGATCTACATGTGATTATTAGCCAATCAAATCATACAATTTGCAATTCGT